TTTCACTCTATTATTAAGGCAAGCTAATAAGTTAGACTCCCAACTAGTATAAGATCTGAAGACAGAGTTCCATTTTGGAAGTACATGCATAATGTGGATGGAAGAGCTGAGATCAAAATAAAAAGTCTTCATCCTTTTCTGTTATTTTGTAGGTGACAAAGTGCAAAGTTATTTTGCAGTAACAAGTGAAGTGATGTGGCTTCTATTTATTAAAATAACACCTCATTATCTCTTTTCTATAAGTAACAGGTGAGGCATGTAAGTGAAAATTTTTTTTAAAAGTATGTAAAAAAAGAAAGCTTTTTACTTATATTTTATTGACATTTCAAAGGCATTCAACTGTGTAGATCATAATAAATGATGAATAATACTAAGAATGGGAATTCCATAACACTCAATTTTGTTTCTCTGAAACCTGTACATAGGCCAAGAGGCATTGTTCAAACACAAGGGGATAGTGCATGGTTTACAATCAGGAAAGTTATTCTTCATCAGAGCTGAAACCTTTCTCCATACAGCCTTCAATATGGATAGCGTCTCAAAAATTTAAAAAAATAATTCTCACAATTGGACCTATAGGTAACATCATACTAGATGGAGAAAAGATTAAATTTGTCAAGGATTTCATTTTACTTAGATCCACAATCAACACCCATGGAAGCAACTTTCAAGAAATCAAAGTACATGTTGCCTTAGGCAAATCTGCTATGAAAGACCTCTTTATAGTGCAAAAAGTGCATAGATGTTGCTTTAAAGGCTAACTCCCAAGCCATAGTATTTTCAGTTAGTATGCATGTGGTATCTCCTTGACATAGATTGTTGATGAGTCTTCCTCCAATCCTGATGCCACATTTCTCCTCATAAAGCCCAGCCCCTGAATGATCTGTTCTGCATATAGATTTAAAAGGTATGGAAACAGGACACATCCCTGACACACTCCTTTCCTGATTTTGAACCATGCAGTGTTTCCTTGCTCTGTCCAGAGGACTGCTTGCTGGTTTGAGTATAGGTTTCACATGAGCACAAGCAAATGTTCTTGGATTCCCATTCTTCTCTAGATGAGCCACAATTTGTCGTAATCCACAGTCAAGTGTGTTTGCATAGTTAGTGAAACACAGGTAGTCATTCCTCTGGTACTATTTCCTTTCTGCCAGGATCCATCTGACATTGGCAATAATGTCTCTGATGCCATGACCTCTTCTAAACCCAGCTTGTATTTCTGGTAGTTCTTTATCGATGTACTCTTCCAGTCATTTTTGAATAATCTTCAGCAAGATTTTGCTTGCATGTGCTATTGTTTGATAATTTCCACACTCTACCAGGTTACCTTTTTTTGGGAATTGGAATAAATATGGATTTCTTCAAGTCAATTAGCCAGGTTTCTTGGCACTGTCTGTTGAGCACGTCCAGTGCAGCATCTGTTTGTTGAAATATGTCAGTTGGTGTTCCATCAATTCTTGAGGCCTTACTTTTTGCCAAGTCCTTTAGAGGAGCCAGTACTTCCTCCTTTATCATCATTGCCTCTTGCTCATATGTTGTTTATTGAAATGTCAGCCAATTCTTTTTAGTACAATGACTCTGTATACTCCTTCTGTCTTCTTTTAATGTTTTCTGGATCATTCAATATTCTGCTCATAGCATCCTTAAGTATTGTAACTTTTGGCTTGGATGTGTTCTTTAGTTCCTTCAGCTTAAGAAATGCTGAGTGAGTTCAGCCTTGAAGTGCTTTCCTGTAGAAGGTTAAGGACTGTAGTCTTCAATATGGATTGAAGCTCAATGTCAAGAAGGCAAATATTCTCACCACTGGGCCATTTGGCAGCACCATAATGGATGGAGAAGAGATTGAGGTTGTTAACAGCTTCAGCTTGCATAGCTCCACAATCAACATTCTTGGCACCAGCAGTCATGAAATCTAAAGATAATGAATTTTACTGGGAAAAATCTGCTGTCAGGGATCTATCCAGAGTACTGAGAAGCAATGATGTCAGTTTAGAAACTAAGGTGCACTTGATCCAGGCTATGGTCTTCACAATTAGAGAGCTGGGCAATCAATGACTAAGTATGACAGAAGTAGAACTGATGCCTTTGAGTTATGGTGCTGGAGAAGAGTCATGGACCACCAAGAAAACAAATAGGTCTGTCTTGGAGAGGGTGAAACCAAGTTTCTCCTTGGAGGCTAGGCTTTTGAAGCTCCATCTAAAATACTTTAGGCATGTAGACAGGAGGGACCAGTCCTTGAAGAAGGACATCATGCTGGGAAGACTGGAGGAACAGTGCAGGAGAGGAAGACCCTGGATGAGATGGGTTGATACAATAACTTGGGGTAATGGAGGTAGGTGTGTCAGAGTCAGTGAGATTAGCTTGCAACAGGACAGGCTTCAGGGCTGTTGTACATAGGGTCACTATGAGTCACAGGCAACTTGATGGCACATAACAGCAATTACAACAACATATATGCATGTGAAAGTTGGACAGTGAATAAAGATCAAAGGAGAATAGATGGCTTTTAATTGTGATATAACAAAGATTACTGACTATACCCTTGGCTGCCAAACTCCACAATTAGATTATTGCCATTGTTGATTTTTGTTGTTGTTATGTGCTGTCAAGGTGTTTATGACTGATAGTGACCCTATGTGCAACTGCTCTGAAGTCTGTCCTGTCGTGAGTTAATCTCACTGACTCTGACACAAGTACCCCCATTTCCCTAGTGACCATGTCAACCCCTCCTGACCACATGCCTAAAGTATTGCTATTGAGTGGGAACCAATTTATACCTGACCTTCCATTGGGTTTCCAAGGCTATAAATCACACAGGAGGAATTGCTCATCTCTTTCCCTTGGCCATTGGTGAATATGAACTGATAGAGTAATATTGCCTCTAAAGATTATACCACCTGAGCTCCCTAAAGACTGCAAAAAAGGCACCTCCACCAAAACCAACCAAAGAAATCTGTCTTGGAGGAAATGGAACCAAGCAGATCTTTAGGAGAGAAGATGCTGAAGCTTTGTCTGACATACTTTTGGCTTGCTGTCAGAAAGAACCAATCTTTGAAAAAATACATCATGCTAGGAGAATAGAGGGTCAGCGCAAAGAGGATGACTCTGGAAGGGACTGACACAGTGACTGCGACAGTGGGCTTCAGCACAGCAGAGGTTGTGAGGATGGTGCAGGGTAGGGCAAGGTTTCGATCTGATGGTCATAGGGTTGCTGTCAATTATAGTTGGCTCTATGGCCCCTAATAATATTCTCTGAAGCAAATATAATTCTAATACCTAGCAAGATGGACACTATGGGAGAAAAACCCTACAGGCCAATATCTTTCATGAATATAAATGCAAAAATTCTCAACAAAATACTAGCAAACAGAATCCTACTGCATAGTCATACATCATGAACTGGGTTTTATTCCAGGATATGTAGGAGTGGTTAACAATTTAAAATCAACATAATAGACCAAAGGGAAAGAACAGCATGATCATCTCTATGGGTGCAGAAAAAGTTTTTGATAAAAGCCCAGTACCCCTTTTTTTGATGAAAACTCGAAAGGCTGGGTTAGAAGAGAAATTCCTTACTATGATTTAGGACATAGAGCATATTTGGAAATTGAACAGCTGACATTATAGCTACTTAATGGAGAAAGATTGAAAGTTCTTTTAAGAGCAAATTCTATGAGATCAAATTGAAAACAGCAACTCTAAACCTCAGCTGAGAACCTTTGGAATAGTGAGTTTATGATAAAGATGAAGAACAACAACTAAGAAAAAGAGGCAGAGAAGAGTTGTGCAACTTAAGAATGACTGTAACCTGCGTCACCCAATAGAACACGTAGAAATTATTAAACTGGTGTATGTATTGCTGTGCATATTCTCAACAATAAATAAAATGCAAAGGAAAACAAGTATAAGCATAGAGATTTATTTGTATAGGTGTACTGATACAGCAAAGATGGGCTTACCACTGCCATCAAGTTGATATCTGACAGTAAACAACAACAACAACGAAACCTTATAGGCCAGCAGAGAGGTGGCACATAGAGTTTTTAAGAATGAAAATATTTATGGGAGCAGATTGCCTTATCTGCTTCTGAGCAGCAGCTATTGGCTAACAGCCCAACATTTAACTTACTGTGTTGCCCAGGCTCCTAATAAACACAAACTGGGTTTAAAAAAAAATGTTATTTTGTTGTTATAGCCAACTACAGAGATGGTTTTATAAAAATAATATATTTCTGCTGAAACATTGCAAGGGGGGAGAAAAGAGGATATGCTACTTGATTACAAGAGGTTGTGCATATGTGCTAGATCTTTCCCTTAAATGAGATCACTCTTCCTACTCATGCTTTAGTTTAGGTGAGAAATGTGGTGATGCTGCTTTATGCTAGGTACTATTTTAATAAGAATAAGGCATCCTTTGAATTAAAAGAAGGTGATATCCATGTAGCCACTCGTTGCACATAAAGTAAACATCCATTTTGTCAGAGGCATGGAGTTAGGCAGCACAAGAACAAAAGTGCTTCACAGAGCATAGTTTAAGAACAGGGAAGTGTTCCTCCCAGGGAAGGAGTCAACTTTGGAACTTTTCACTTTCAAAGGGGCATAGCTATATCAGCTGTGTCTATATTTACTAACAATATCAAGATAGTAATACACAAAATTAATGATTCAGGAACCCTAGTGGTGCAATTGTTAAAATGCTTCTCCGCTAACTGAAGTGTTAGAGTTGGAATGTGTTAGCCCTTCCCAGGGAGGAAGAGGTGGCAACCGGTTTTTGTAAAGATAGACAGTCCTGTATTTAAGTCCTGTTGGAGTAGTAATACTTTGCCCTCTAGGGTCACAATGAGTTGGCATTGACTCGATGGCAGTGGATCATACTATACAGGATTTAAATTTTTATCCTGTCTCCTAAACGGATTGTTACCGATTTGGTCAGTTGAGTAGCTTTACTATTATAAGTAAGCAAATAAGCATGCTAAAGTTTTATTTCCTTTTTTCCTCAGCAACTGAAAAGTATAAGGAGAAACATTTTCAAATGAGAGACTTTAGAACAGCTCCATATTCTAACTGTGAAAATGGTAAGAAATTATACAATTATATATCATATACGATTATATATTATATATATAATCGTATATGATATATAATTATATATATTTCATTATTAAATTCTTCATTTTTACTTGTAATTTATACTTTGTATATATTTTTTATTATTAGAAGTTACATAGAGATCTAAATGGGGATGCAACTCTGTACTTCTATTTTGTAGCTTATAGTACAAGAAATTAGATAATTCTTGGAGTGTTGGGTCCAGTCAGCATGTATACATAATATTGTGTGTAAATTTAGCACTGTCTTCTCTTATGTCTATCATTAAGCAACATAGGAAGTAAGGAAATATTTATCAAATAGATAAAATGTGTACACTCAGAATTTTTAAAAACTAGCAAATTAGTAAATGTCACTCAATAATAAAGAATTTAAACTCACTACTTTAAACAAAATAATTTGTTATTCTGATACTTTTCTGTAAAATGAGTAAGACTTTAATTTTCAATAAGTGTTATTACTTTGAAAGTACTTCCTAGTGTTAAAAATCACATTGAATACATTCCCCAAGAATTAAATGACCTTGTTATCCTTGTTGAAAATGAACTCTCTCTCTCCATAGACACACACACATACATAGCTTTATTTCTGAAATCTCAGTTTTATTTTCACCATTTGATCCACCTATTCTTTTTTTAATTTATTACTCATTTTAAAGATAATGTACAGAGACTTTGGATTTCCATTCATTCATTGTTGCACTTTTCTCCTCTCCCAACCCTCCCCTGTAGTATACTACCCTCTTGGAAAAGTAAAAGAAAAATTCTTTCATTGTTTTACAAACTCTCCCCCAGGTCCACTCCACCATGTTGCCTTTGCTCTAGACTCCTGTCATGACAAAAATACTTAATCACATATCCCTTTTAAACAGTTTGCTCCTTATCTGCAGTATACATTATTGAACCCATCTTTCTCAGTTTCCCCCGAGGTCAATCCTGTTTTACAACAGTGGCACCATGCTGTATTTGTCCTTTTGTGACTGAGATACTTCACTCAGCAT